CCTTTCTTCATCCACATTTAAAAGTTCTTCAAAATATTCCCGCCATCTACCCAATACCTCCATCTCCCCATCTACTAACTCCCCTACTCTGTTTTTAACTGACAAATCCATTCGTTCCCTAGGCTTTCTTAACTTGATTCTCACTCCAAAATTTGTTCTTATTTTCATCAAAATTTCTTGGCAGTGCCTCTCCCACTCTACCATCTGCTCTCCTTTTGCACTCTCTCTCCACTCTCTTCACCTCTTTTTTACTCTCCATATACTCTACTCTTCTTATAACACTTCTGCTTTGTAAAAACCTCTCATAAGCTACCTTTTTTTCTCTTATCACACCGTTTACTTCATCATTCTACCAATCACTCCTGTTTCCTCTTGCACCCACCCTCCTATAGCCACAAACCTCTTCCCCACATTCTAATATTGCATTTTTAAAACTATTCCAGCCTTTTTCACACACCCCCCCCCACTACTTATACTTGCACTAGCCCATCTTTCTGCCAATAGTTGCTTATATATCACCCTAACTTCGTCCTCCCTTAATTTATACACTTTCACCTTTCTCTTACTTGTTGTTGCCATTTTCCTTTTGTCCCATCTTTCTCTTACTCTAACTGTAGCTACAACTAAATAATGATTCGATATATCAGTTGCTTCTCTAGAAACACGTACATCCTGAAGTCTACCCATCAGCCTTGTATCTACCAATACATAATCTAACAAACTACTTTCATTTCGTGCTATATCATGCCTTGTATTTTTATTTATCCTCTTTTTTATAAATTATGTATTACTTATGTATTACTCTTTCTACACATAGCTCAATTAAAGGCTCCCCATTTTCATTTACCCCTGGCACCCAAATTTACCTACTACTACCACCTCCACAACATTTTTATCCGCTTTAACATTGAAATCCCCACCCACAAGTACTCTCACACTTGGTTCAAAACTCCCCATGCATTCGCTCAACATTTTCCAAAATCTTTCTCTCTTCTCTACATTTCTCTCTTCTCCAGGCACATAAATGCTTACTATAACCCACTTTTCACATCCAATCCTTATTTTACTACACACAATCCTTTATTTTATGCATTTATATTCCCTCATTTCCTGCCATAACTTATCCTTCAACATTATTGCTACTCCTCCTTTAGTTCTAGCTCTATTTGAAGCCCCTGACCTAATCCCATTTATTTCTTCCTGCTGAAACTCTCCCACCCCCTTCAGCTTTGTTTCACTTTAAGTCAGGACATCCAGCTTCTTCTCATTCATAACATCCACAGTCATCTCTTTCTCATCATTCACACAACATCCACACACATTCAGATATCCCACTTTGAATTCTTGTTGGTATTATATATAATATTTTCAGCAATCTACAAATTCTCTGGATAATATTTACACCACTAATTTCCCTAGACACGACATCACTGACTCCAGCCTCCCCTCCTCTTTACTGTAACATTCACAACCCGTGCTTGTCACCTATATAAGAGTGTTGGTACTGCTATACTTTCATACATTTCCCATTTTGCCTCAGTACATCACCCACCTTTTTTACTTCATCAGTTCTTTAGTTTATCTTGTCTTTCATAGACTCATCTGCTGACAGGTCCACTCCCAAATATCTGAACATAATCATTTCTTCCAAATTCCCTCCTTTTAATCTGATGAACATCAAAATGGTATACAATACCGACAGATTGGTAGGTAAGACACATAGGCAACAGTTAGGCAACTTTATTCCGAAACGTTTCGCCTGCACAGTATGCTTCTTCAGTCGAATACAGAAAGTAGGCAGGAACAGTAGAGACGTGAAGACGATGTAATCAGTCCATCACCCTTGAAGTCGTAGAATTTGAGGTTGTCAGTCCCTCGGCCTGGAGAAGTTCAGTTCCATAGTCATGAACTATCTGAAGATCAAGCGACAGTGCGGAGACTTAAATACTGTCGGAAGGAGAGGTGCAGAGTAGTAGTAGTAGTAGTAGTAGTAGTAGTAGTAGTGAGAATGTAGCGACTGAGAGGTCAGGTCCCTCTCAGATCCAACAGTTCTCACTTGAAAGGGTTGTCTAAGGCGTTTTCTGTACCAAGAGGCCATGTGTTGCAGTGTCTGACAAGATGAACATCAAAATGGTATACAGTACCGACAGATTGGTAGGTAAGACACATAGGCAACTTTATTGCGAAACGTTTCGCCTACACAGTAGGCTTCTTCAGTCGAATACAGAAAGTAGGCAGGAACAGTAGAGATGTGAAGACGATGTAATCAGTCCATCACCCTTGAAGTCGTAGAATTTGAGGTTGTCAGTCCCTCGGCCTGGAGAAGTTCAGTTCCATAGTCAGGAACTATCTGAAGATCAAGCGACAGTGCGGAGACTTAAATACTGTCGGAAGGAGGACCTGACCTCTCAGTGGCTACATTCTCACTACTACTACTACTACTACTCTGCACCTCTCCTTCCGACAGTATTTAAGTCTCCGCACTGTCGCTTGATCTTCAGATAGCTCCTGACTATGGAACTGAACTTCTCCAGGCCGAGGGACTGACAACCTCAAATTCTACGACTTCAAGGGTGATGGACTGATTACATCGTCTTCACATCTCTATTGTTCCTGCCTACTTTCTGTATTCGACTGAAGAAGCCTACTGTGTAGGCGAAACGTTTCGGAATAAAGTTGCCTAACTGTTGCCTATGTGTCTTACCTTTTAATCTGATATCCAATTTTCATTACCTAATTTTTTTTGTTGCCCTCATCACCTTGCTCTTTCCTGTGTTCACTTTGTTTCCTTCTTTCACATACCCTCCCAAATTTGTCCACCAATCTCTGCAACTCTCTTTAGACTCTCCTAGAAGCACAGTGTCATCAGCTCCTCTCCAGCACCCTAGCATTCACTTCAATTCAGTTCGATTCAATTCAGTTAAAGTTTATTCTCTATAAGGGTTACAATGTGGGGTTTACAGGTTTTGGGTATTGTGTGGTTTACATGTTATAAAATACTAATTACAGAGGGGGCTACTAGGACACCTAGCCTGGCTAGGCATTTCGAGCAGACTTAGATTAATTCTTAACATTAAATCCTTACAGATTATGGTATTAAGGCTAAGTGACTACATCATAATTTGTGAGTTTAGCAATGTGAATGCTTTTGTTTTGGCAAAATACAAAGTGTCTATATTGGAGTATCATAGGCAAACTTATGACTAGTTAGGATTTATTATTTTAAGATTAAGATTAGTATTTCTGGGTTTATAGTCAGTGGGTGAGTCAGTGTAATTGTGAACCACCAGGTGGTTATCATGTAGTTAGTTGTCGGGGTGGATCAGGGAGATAAGATGTTTTCTAACTGTAGTTTTGAAAGTGATGAATGTGTCTGCAATTCTAGAGTTTTCAGGTAGGGTGTTCCAGATTTTAGGTCCTTTGAAATACATTGAATTTTTGTAAAGGTTTAGTCAAACACGGGGAATGTCATAGAGATGTTTGTGTCTGGTGTTATGCCTGTGGATCCTGTCACAACTATCAAGAAAGCATTTTAGGTCAAGATTAATATTGGAATCTAAGGTCCTGTAGATATAGATTGCACAGTAGTAAGTGTGGATGTTCTGAACAGGGAGTAAGTTTAGATCTATGAAGAGTGGGGGGGGGGGGGGTGTTGCCAGGGATGGGATTTAGTGATTATTCTTACTGCGGCTTTTTGTTGGATTATTATTGGCTTTAGGTGTGTTGCTGCAGTTGAACCCCAAGCACAGATAGCATAGGTGAGGTATGGATATATAAGTGAATGGTATATCTGTCAGTATGTTTAACAACCATGATGATATCATGCATTCCTGTCTTAGGCCTACTTGAAAATAATCTCTATCACTCCTACATACCCTAAGATAAGCTTCACTATCCTCTCAGTAATCTACCACCTATTACAATTGCAGGATCAGCCACATCAGAACTATGCACACACACTGCCAATCCCTAGGTACTTTTCCTTGTTTCATACATTTATTGAATAAAAGTACTAATTGCTCCAAAACTATATCCCCACCTGCTTTTAACATTTTTATCTTGATCCCATCAATCTTAGATGCTTTACCCTGTTTCATTTTAGCCACTAACCCCCTTACCTCCACTCACATTTGGCTTTTCCTCACTCCTAAAGGATGTTAAACCTTCCTGACCAATGCATGAAATCACTGCCTTCCTTCATCAACATATAACAGCTCCTCAAAATATTTCCGCTATCTTCCCAGTATACCTCCAACTCCCCATCTAACAACTTCCTTCTTCTGTATCTAACTGTCAAATTCACTAATCCCCTAGGCTTTCTCAGCCTATTAATCTCATTACAAATTTTTTCCATATTCTCAGTAAAATTTGTTGACAGAACCTAATCCACTCTCATTTACTATCTTTTTCATTACCTCATCACTCTCCATAGTCTCCACCCTCCTTATATCACTGTTATTATTACTATTGGATGTCCAAGGGGTTGATTATCATTTTTAGGTTGACGATACACAGTTTTACATCCAGGTTCTAAATGTGGAAGATGGAAAACTCTGTTCTAGTTCTCTTTTGCTGGATATTTGGAATTGGATGTCAGAAGGGTAAGATAAATTTTGATTGTCAGGGGAAGGAAACCTCATAGGAGTTCAGATTGGAGATTTTGATGCCCCTGAGTGTGGTACTGTTAGTGTAAATCCTGTGGGATCAGTAAGGGTTCTGGGTGTCTACTTGGATTCCTTATTGTCATTTATTGGGCACCCCAACTAAGTTGTTAAACCATGCAGTTTTCATATTCATAATCTATGTAGTCAGAAAATATCCTGAAAAGGAAAATAACTTGGCCCTTATCCTTGCATCTGCTTCCTCTCAATTTGATTATATCAATTGTTTCATGGTTTGCCTAACAGCTTGGTAAGAAATAGTGAAGTAAATCAATAATTAAAATTATATTAAGAGTTCTTCAACTTGACACAGTTTTTAAGGAATGTGTGTTGTTGCAGCAACAAACCCAATCCAGCAGCTCTATCCAATGGAAAGACGCCATCTATGGTGAATGGTGCAGATATCACTGTCTCGGGGAAGGCTTGCGAGTCATGTCACGGTAAGAGTTGGTAATGTAACATTTTATACATCTTTGTGTGTTTCTTGCTGCTTCTAGTTATCTGAGAGAGAGAGAGAGAGAGAGAGAGGGGGAGAGAGAGAGAGAGAGGGGGGAGAGAGAGAGAGAGAGGGGGAGGGAGGGGGGAGAGGGAGAGGGGGGAGCAGAGGTACAGAGGTGAGGGAGGGAGGTAGCTAGGGGGTAAGGGATGAGAGAAGGGGTGAGGGATGAGATGAACTGGGGTAAGCTAATAGCTTATCATATTAATAGTATACAGTATTGACAAATTAAGGAATTGGATACCAAAGTGTTGAGGAGGATAATATTGGTTATTGTGTAAGTAAATGTGGGAACTCTTGTCTAGGCTTGTATGACACTTAAACTATAAAAATATAAAGAATTTTTTTGTTTGGTTTAGAGGGAAATGCAGATGGAAGATGTCATGGATAAAACTAGCAAACTGTCAAAAATGATATTGACACATCATTGGAAGAACATATGAAATTCAGATTTTGTACAAGTTTTAATTTTAACATTCGCATGAAAGAATTTGGGCTGTGTTGTAGATGTTGGAAGTTATTGACATTGACGTAATTTGAGAATAATTCAGGTAAGTAGGTAGAGTGATAGGTTGGTAAATAGCAACCATCCAAGGATTTTTTTTTTCCCTATCTTTTGAACATGGAAAATAGCTGCTAAATCTTTTGAACCTACTTAGATTCTACATAACTTATACATGTATTTGCTTTCTAATTCCTAAAAGTTAGTGTCCCTTTAAAATTTCCTGTCCAATTTATAGGGACTGGTCTAAGTCCTGGCCACTTGGTGGGATGACCCTGGAAACAAGAAATATTGCACTTAAAATAAAAAGATAAGATGAAGAGAAAAAATTGAAGTCAAGAGAATGAAATAATAAGTTGAGTATTATATGATAGATGAAGTAAATCATAAAATAGAAGTGGAAAAGACAGTTGTAGGAGTACAGAGGTGTCTATGGGAAGAAAGACTTTTGTCGTTGGATGATAAAATGATGAGATACACAAGTTTAGATCAGGGGTTTCAAATAGAGTTAGAGCTAAAGGAGGAGTAGCAATAATGTTGAAGGATAACCTATGGCAGGAAAAGAGGGACTATAAATGTATTAATTCAAGGATTATGTGGAGTAAAATAAAGGTTGGATGTGAAAATGGGTTATAGTAAGCGTATATGCACCTGGAGAAGAGAGAAGTGTAGAGGAGAGAGAGATTTTGGGAAATGTTGAGTGAATGCGTTGCGAGTTTTGAACCAAGTGTGAGAGTACTTGTGGTTTGGGATTTCAATGATAAAGTGAGTAAAAATGTTGTGGAGGGAGTAGTTGGTAAATTTGGGGTGCCAGGGGTAAATGAAAATGGGGAGCCTTTAATTGAGCTATGTGTAGAAAGAGGTTTGATAATAAGTAATACATAATTTATGAAAAAAGATGATAAATAAATATATAAGGTATGATATAGCACGTATTGAAAGTAGTTTGTTAGATTATGTATTGGTGGAAAAAAGGTTGACGGGTAGGCTCTAGGAGGGTACATGTTTATAGAGGGGCAACTGATATATCGGATCATTATTTAGTTGCAGCTACAGTTAGAGTTAGTGGTAGATGGGAAAAGAGGAAAATGGCAACAAGAAATAAGAAAGAGGTTAAAGTGTATAAACTAAGGGAGGAGGAAGTTTGGGTGAGATAGAAGCAACTATTGGCAGAAAGGTGGGCTAGTGCAAGTATGAGTAGTGGGGGGGGTAAGGAGGGTTGGAATAGTTTTAAAAATGCAGTATTAGAATGTGGGGCAGAAGTTTGTGGTTATAGGAGGGTGGGTGCAGGAGGAAAGAGGAGTGATTGGTGGAATGATGAAGTAAAGGGTGTGATAAAAGAGAAAAAGGTAGCTTAAGAGAGGTTTTTACAAACAGAAGTGTTATAAGAAGAGCAGAGTATATGGAGAGTAAAAGAAAGGTGAAGAGAGCAGTGAGAGAGTGCAAAAGGAGAGCAGATGATAGAGTGGGAGAGGCACTGTCAAGAAATTTTAATGAAAATAAGAAAAAAAAATGGAGTGAGTTAAACAAGTTAAGAAAGCCTAGGGAACGATGGATTTGTCAGTTAAAAACAGAGTAGAGAAGTTAGTAGATGGGAAGATGGAGGTATTGGGTAGATGGTGGGAATATTTTGAAGAACTTTTAAATGTGGATGAAGAAAGGGAGGAGGTAATTTCATGCATTGGCCAGGGAGGTGTACCATCTTTTAATAGTGAAGAAGATTAGGATGTGAGTGTGGGGGAGGTGCGTGTGGCATTACGTAGAATGAAAAGGGGTGAAGCAGCTGGAACTGATGAGATCATGACAGAAATATTAAAAGCAGGGGAGATATAGTGTTAGAGTGGTTGGTATTTTTTGTTTAATAAATGTATGAAAGAGGGGAAGGTACCCAGGGATTGGAAGAGAGCATGAATAGTTCCTTTATATAAAGGGAAGGGGGACAAAAGAGATTGTAAAAATTATAGAGGAATTAGTTTACTTAGCATACCAAGAAAAGTGTACGGTAGGATTATTATTGAAAGAATTAGAGGTAAGACAGTATGTAGGATTGTGGATGAGCAAGGAGGTTTTAAAGTGGGTAGGGGATGTGTAGATCAAGTGTTTACATTGAAGCATATATGTGAACAGTATTAAGATGAAGGTAGGGAAGTTTTCATTGCATTTATGGATTTAGAAAAGGCATATGATAGTGGATAGGGGAGCTATGTGGCAGATGTTGCAAGTATATGGAATAGGTAGTAAGTTACTAAATGCTTTAAAGAGTGTTTATGAGGATTGCGAGGCTCAGGTTAGGGTGTGTAGAAGAGAGGGAGACTACTTCCGGTAAAAGTAGGTCTTAGACAGGGATGTGTAATGTCACCATGGTTGTTTAATATGTATATATATGGGTTTGTAAAAGAAGTAAATGCTAGAGTGTTCAGGAGAGGGGTGCGATTAAATTATGGAGAATCAAATAAAAAATGGAATTGACAGTTACTTTTTGCTGATGGTACTATGCTTATGGGAGAGTCTAAAGAAAAATTGCAAAGGTTAGTGGATGAGTTTGGGAGTGTGTGTAAAGGTAGAAAGTTGAAAGTGAACATAGAAAAGAGTAAGGTGATGAGGGTATCAAATGATTTTGATAAAGAAAAATTAGATATCTAATTGGAGAGGAGGAGTATGAAAAGTGAAAGTTTTCAGACATTTGCGAGTTGACGTCTCAGCGGATGGATTTATGAAAGATTAGGTTAATCATAGAATTAATGAACGAAAAAAGGTGAGTGGTGCGTTGAGGTGTATGTGGAGACAAAAAACGTTATCTATTGAGGCAAAGAAGGGAATGTATGAAAGTAGTGGTACCAACACTCTTATATGGGTGTGAAGCTTGGGTTGTAAAATGCTGCAGCGAGGAGACGTTTGGAGGCAGTGGAGATGTCCTGTCTAAGGGCAATGTGTGGTGTAAATATTATGCAGAAAATTCGGAGTGTGGAAATTAGGAGAAGGTGTGGAGTTAATAAAAGTATTAGCCAGAGGGCTGAAGAAGGGTTGTTGAGGTGGTTTGGTCATTTAGAGAGAATGGATCAAAGTACAATGACATGGAGAGCATATAAATCTGTAGTGGAAGGAAGGCAGGGTAGGGGTCGTCCTCGAAAAGGTTGAAGGGAGGGGGTAAAGGAGGTTTTGTGGGTGATGGGCTAGGACTTGCAGGAAGCGTGCGCGAGCGTGTTTGATAGAAGTGAATGGAGACGAATGGTATTTGGGGCCTGGCGAGCTGTTGGAGTGTGAGCAGGGTAATATTTAGTGAAAGGATTCAGGGAAACTGGTTATTTTTATGTAGTCGGAGTTGAGTACTGGATATGGGAAGTACAATGCCTGCACTTTAAAGGAGGGGTTTGGGTAATTGGCAGTTTGGAGGGATATGTTGTGTATCTTTATATGTATATGCTAAAATATGTACAGTGGACCCCCGGTTAACGATATTTTTTCACTCAAGAAGTATGTTCAGGTGCCAGTACTGACCGAATTTGTTCCCATAAGGAATATTGTGAAGTAGATTAGTCCATTTCAGACCCCCAAACATACACGTACAAACGCACTTACATAAATACACTTACATAATTGGTCGCATTCGGAGGTGATCGTTATGCGGGGGTCCACTGTATATGTTAAAAGCAGGTGGGGATATAGTTTTGGAGTGGTTGGTGCAATTATTTAATAAATGTATGGAAGAGGGTAAGGTACCTAGGGATTGGCAGAGAGCATGCATAGTTCCTTTGTATAAAGACAAAGGGGACAAAAGAGAGTGCAAAAATTATAGGGGGATAAGTCTGTTGAGTATACCTGGTAAAGTGTATGGTAGAGTTATTATTGAAAGAATTAAATGTAAGACTGAGAATAGGATAGCAGATGAACAAGGAGGCTTTAGGAAAGGTAGGGGGTGTGTGGGACCAGGTGTTTACAGTGAAAACATTAAGTGAACAGTATTTAGATAAGGCTAAAGAGGTCTTTGTGGCATTTATGGATTGGGAAAAGGCATATGACAGGGTGGATAGGGGGGCAATGTGGCAGATGTTGCAGGTGTAGGTGTGGGAGGGGTTAGGTTACTGAAAGCAGTGAAGAGTTTTTACGAGGATAGTGAGGATCAAGTTAGAGTACATAGGAAAGAGGAAATTATTTCCCAGTAAAAGTAGGCCTTAGACAAGATGTGTGATGTCACCGTGGTTGTTTAATATATTTATAGATGGGGTTGTAAGAGAAGTAAATGCGAGGGTCCTTGGCAAGAGGCGTGGAGTTATAAGATAAAGAATCACACATAAATGGGAGTTGTCACAGTTGCTCTTTGCTGATGACACTGTGCTCTTGGGAGATTCTGAAGAGAAGTTTTCAGAGATTGGTGGATGATTTGGATTTGGGTGTGCAAAAGAAAAAAATTAAAAGTGAATACAGGAAAGAGTAAGGTTATGAGAAAAACAAAAATATTAGGTGAGAAAGATTGGATATCAGATTGGAGGGAGAGAGATGGAGGAGGTGATGTATTCGATATTTGGGAGTGGGACATGTCGCGGATGGGTCTATGAAGGATGAGGTGATCATAGAATTGATGAGGGGAAAAGGGTGAGTGGTTTGCACTTAGGAGTCTGTGGAGACAAAGAACTTTGTCCTTGGAGGCAAAGAGGGGAATGTATGAGAGTATAGTTTTACCACACTCTTATTTTGGGTGTGAAGCATGGGTGATGAATGTTGCAGCGAGGAGAAGGCTGGAGGCAGTGGAGAAGTCATGTCTGAGGGCAATGTGTGGTGTGAATATAATGCAGAGAATTCATAGTTTGGAAGTTAGGGAGGAGGTGCGGGGTTACCAAAAACTGTTGTCCAGGGGGGTGAGGAAGGGTTGTTGAGGTGGTTCGGACATGTAGAGAGAATGGGAGCGAAACAGAATGACTTCAAGAGTGTATCAGTCTGTTGTGGAAGGAAGGCGGGGTAGGGGTCGGCCTAGGAAAGGTGGAGGGAGGGGGGGTTTTAAAAGGAGGTTTTGTGTGCGAGGGGCTTGGACTTCCAGGCAGGCGTGCGTGAGCGTGTTTGATAGGAGTGAATGGAGACAAATGGTTTTTAATAATTGACGTGCTGTTGGAGTGTGAGCAAAGTAACATTTATGAAGGAGTTCAGGGAAACCGGCAGGCCGGACTTGAGTCCTGGAGATGGGAAGTACAGTGCCTGCAGTCTGAAGGAGGGGTGTTAATGTTGCAGTTTAAAAACTGTAGTGTAAAGCACCCTTCTGGCAAGACAGTGATGGAGTGAATGATGGTGAAAGTTTTTCTTTTTCGGGCCACCCTGCCTTGGTGGGAATCGGCCAGTGTGATAATAAATAATAGAATAGATAGCTTCTAATCTGTTGTATTCTGAGTACCTCTGTAAAAACAGTGATTGTGTGAGTGAGGTGAAAGTGTTGAATGATAATGAAAGTATTTTCTTTTTGGGTATTTTCTTTCTTTTTAGGTCACCCTGCTTCGGTGGGAGACGGCCGACTTGTTAAAAAAAAAAAAAATACTCAAGACAAGTATAAAGATGATTGAACCGTAGAATAACCTGTACTCCTCTTAAGTGCAGGTTATTTGTGTATTGTTCCATCCACATTGTTGTGAATTTTTATTCTTGATGCTTGATAGTTTTGTATGGGTGTGAAATATAGTCTTCAAATGCTGCACTGAGGAGATTGGAGGCAGTGAAAAGTTTGTTTTGAAGTATGAAAATAAGGAAGGAGGATGTTGAAAGACTGTGGCAGTTTGAAGAGTGTAATTCAAGGTGCAGAAGAGGTGCTAATTGAAGTATGGTCACGTGGACAGATGGATTAATTAGATAGGAAAAAAAAGTTGATATAAACAGTTTATAAATCATGCTTGGTTCATCCTCACTGTCTTTGTTTTGGTGCATTTCTCAAAAATGCATTTTAATTTCTTTACTACTTTTAGCACTATGGGCTAATTTTGATCTTGCTGTCATGTTGGTACTGCTTCCATACCTTGGGTAGTATTTACTTTGTTATTGTGTGATCAGCTTCAATGTTTATGTTTATAATATATTATATTGTACAGTATGTATTAAACTTTGAGTCAGAATTGCTGAATAACATTGTAGCTCTTTGCAAAGCTAACAACTTGTTTGATACACTCATCATACATGAAATTTTCTAAGTTATTTTAACTGCCCCACCATACCTGTGAGTTTTTGTGTTGATTTTGACATTCAGTAAATTAAGTATAAGAATAGAGTTTCCTTGCATCTTATCAGCTTATGTAAGGAATTGGAGCTACCCTCCCATTCCTTCATTCAAACCTCATTACATGCCATCCCTCCCATTCTCCAAGAAATTTACCCCCTTCAGGTTTAGTTCTTTCAAGTGAACTTAATAATAGCAGCACTGTAGTGGTCTCATTCTTGGAAGTTTTGAGGATAACATTGTATTAGAAATATACTATATATAGACTTTGACAAGTCTTATATCACCGAGCTACCTAACTGCATTTTCATACTACTCCTATTCTTTCAGCAACAAATAGTAGCCAGTGGTATGCCTGGGGCCCTTCCCATCTACAGTGTCGCCTCTGTCACTCATGCTGGCAATACTGGAAGAAATTTGGTGGCCTCAAACTTCCTTCGCGAATTGGAAAAGAAGAAGGTGGGTGGACACTGATGGGTGATAATAGTATATGGTAACTTTGGTATATGAATTGGGGTGATTTTACTCATTTCAAACCATTGTCAGTTGATCCTTAGGGATCCAGTACCTCCTCTGATACTAAACATTGTAGAATTTATTGGTGTTCCCCACCTTTGTGGATAATTGATGAAGCAAGACTCAATTTAGTCATTACACATTAGTAATTAATAAAAATGTAATGTACAGTGCTTTAATTTTCTCTTTAATACATGTAGAACCTGGTAAGCATATACTGTGGTACAGAAGCTTTATTTCCCCGACTATTTCTTTGTGCCAAAGTTTAGTATTACGAGGGTGTACTGTAATGTTTCTGAGCTATTATAATGCATACATTATGTTGCATGATGAATAAATAACCACAGTTGTTCAAAATTAACTTAAAACTAACCCCTTCTCTGGTGCTTTAACATGCTGCAATTATTGTAGAATAATATACAGAGGCCCTTTGTTTAAAAGATCATTTATATAAAGATTAGCTTTGCTTACTAGAGATGTCATATGTATATTTCAGTAAATTAATTGGAGAATTTCATCTTAAGTTTTGAAGATACTTTAATCTTTCAAATTTGTTATTTTGAAAATTATATTTGTTGTATCATCAGATCAGTCTTGTTCTAATCATGTGCACAACTCAAACTAAAAGTAGAAGTAATACTGTTAGTTGTTTATTTGGCTGTTATTTTAACACATTAAAATACATGTTGGGAGCTTTCCTGCAGTTTTCTTTAGATATTTATTCATCTTTGTCTACTTTTTGTTTTAGACCTTCCCCTGAGTTGAGTGGTAGAACATTTTCATCATCCTATTTGATTATTGATATGAAAATTGTGGATGTGTCAACTGTTGGTATCATTTGTCATCTTGGCTTGTGGTTTGTTCATCTCAACTCAGAAAATGTTTCTAGCACACTGTCCTCAGGGGCACCTCCAAATAAACATATCTATCAGTGCATCCGCTATTCCCTAATTGACTCCCTAACCTTGGTCCCTCTCTCCAACCACCATAGCTGATATTGACAGTGAAAGTGGAAGAAAAAGTGCTGATATATTTGGGGAAGGTGAGCCGGTCTTCCTCTGTGCATGATTGTGACTTGTTATCTGGTGAGAAGTATTGCCGTCTCTTGTTTAATGACCCATGTTATGAAACTTACTACCAAAGATTTTCTTTATCACTAAAGTTTTCAGTTATTGTGGAAGGCTCAGTAGTGTGGTTGTAGGAACAAGCAATTGTTATTCACTGATTAATTATGCAGGACATTGAAGATGATATTGGCAGTGTTCATAATTTTAGTCTCTTCTGGTGAATAGATTGTGATATATACATATATAAAATTTCTGTAGATTTTGAAGAATAATTGATTTTAAAAAATGTATTCAAGTAACATGTTGCACTTTAATTGATTAGTAACAGTTTGTATTATTGTAAATATTAAGACTAGATGGTGAGCATCTTGAATAATTTTGCAAGTGACAGTTGTCTTAATTATGCACAAAGTAATAGTGTTCTTAAATGTTTTGAAAAACTGGAGAGGAGGAATTGCTTAGAGATTAGATGTAACATGTGCAGTCAGTTTGTGATTTTTAGATTGTCATTACTAATCACAAATACGACTCCAGTGATATATCTGTGTGTGAATAGTTATTCCATTTTTTTTTTTTATCAACTTTAGGCTACACTTTTTTTTTATAGTGTACTGTTTTGTTATGGAACCATTTTGTTCAGCATTTATCTTTTGAAGGTCATACATGACTAGTGCAAAGGTGTATTTAACAACTTGATATAATGTATGGAGAGGATGGCCAAGGAGCTAGCTGGCATAAATAAACTGTGTGGTAAAGTGGTGATGCAAACACAATATTGTTATTTAGATGGTTCCTCACATCAGGTTTCTAACTTATTTTCCCTACTTCCTGACTCATCCTTCCTCTTGATCCTCCCATTGTCTGATCTCTCCATTGTTTCACCCTCACTTTTTCTTCCTTGACCTACTTTCACTATCTCTTTTGATTACCCTTTCTTCATTTAGTATTCTCTGTTTTTTTTCTCCAAGATTTTCCTCTTTCCTTGATTTCCTTCCTCAAAAATTTTCCCATGATCAACCCCCATCTCAGTCTTCCTCCTCCCCAATATTCTACCTTCATTCTTCCCAAACTCTTCTCCCCCACCTGTTCTTGATTAACCAATCTGCTCCGTTGATGTCCCCATCTCCTCCCCCTATTTTGCATCTACACTGATCCCTGGCCTCAGTTTATCCCACTTCATATCTTCTACTTTTGGTGTTCCAATTGATCTTGCTTTCTTAATCTGCCCCTTTCCCTACTCCTTCCTCCAGTGTTTTCCTTACCCCTGCCATGATCTTTACCCTATCATCTTGATTTTTCCCTCCTCTGATACCCCCCTCTTTCTTCCCTGTTTGTGAATCTCCTTTTATTTTTTTTTATCTATCCCTTTGAGCTTTTCCTTCTATCCCACTAACATTTGTTCCCCTCTATCTCATTCCTCCCCTTCCTACTCTTCTCTCTAGACTCTCCATTCACCCTGCCTTTTTTTGTCTTCTCTTTCTTTTCTGCCCTGTCTTTCTTCTTTTCCCTCCTTTACCCCAATCTTTTTTTTTTTTCTCTGTTCCACCTCGCTACTCAGGCTTGTCTTCCCTTCCACTTCGTACCTCCCACTCCCTATTCTTCCTCTCCCTGTCTGTTACATCTTGTCTTTCCTTCTCTCTCTCCTCCCTCTTCCTTATTTTTACCATGTGACGTACCTGTAACAGGTGTCAAGGGCTTTTCTACCCTTTCTATCCTTTGGCCAGTTTTGTTTTTTTTTTTTTTTTATCTTGCCTCTACCGTATCCTTCACTAACTGACCTCTCCCTCCTCGAGTCTCATCTTTCTTCTCTCTGCTGCCTCCTGTTCCTTATACAGTGAAACCTCTGGTCACAACCATAATTCGTTCCAAAACTCTCGTAGCGACCTGAACCTAATTTCCCCATTGGATTTTGTAAATACAATTAATCCGTTCCAGATCCCTATGAACTGTATGTAAATTTTTTTTTTTAAGCACAAAAATAGTTCCTTATACCATAGAATGTACAGTGTAATAGTAAATGAAATGTAAAAACCTTGAATAACACTGAGAAAACCTTGAAGAAAAAAGAAAAGTAACATTGCACGAGTCCGTTCTAGACCCTTACAAACCGTTTGCTGTAAGTAGATTTTTTCTTAAAAGTTTTAAGGGGCGTCTAATGGCTGACAAGTGAACTCTGTTATTTATCGTCCGATTTCTTTCATTTTTTGGTGCATCTTTCCATCACACATTGCCCATGTTTCAATAAGATAGCCCAACAAACAACTGAGAACAACTTTTTTTTAACAAAAATCATATATGCAAGCCTACCTGGGTACTGGCACTGCGAGAAGCTGTTTGTGCACTACCTGCTGATAAAACATTGTTAATCCGAATATATCATGGTTTTTGTTAGGTGTACTCAAACAACAGGAAGTGGGGAAAATTGGCGTGTGAAAAAAATTGCGCGGAATGTGAAAATTGGTGCAGCTGTGTTTGTTGGGCACCCAGTTGTGTGTTTGTGACCATATGCAAAAAAATTGGCAAATTTTTTGGTTGTGAACTGATTTTGTTCGTGTTCGGAAGAGTTCATGACCAGAGATTTCACTGTACATAATATCTTCCTTCTTCCTATTCATTCTTTCTCTCTTAGATTATTCTGGTAGTAATATACGAGGTGTTGTTCAGCACAAAAAAATAAACATTATGTCCAAAATCCAGGTTAATGGATGAATTGATTCCTCAATGTTTCAGCTTTGTGTGGATGTATAGATATTGTCTTCCACATCTGTAAGTTAGGCTCAGAGCCCCCTAAAGTATGGTAACATGAGCTTTATAATAAAGCTCCATTCTCCTCTGCTTGCACTTTTCTCTATTGTTTAAATATGGTACTTATTCTTTTCTGCTGTGCAGTGCCTCGTGTATATCAGGTAAATGAGTTGTTAATTTTGGTTATAAAAGTTTATTAAGTGTAAAATATAAAATGTTGAGTACAGTAAAGAAAATAGTGTGGATGACTTAAGTTATAGATGATCATTGTATGGATGAGTTATGGAGGACAATTGTGTAAATGAAGTTTATGGAGGAGGATTGTGGATGAAAATTGTGGAAGATGATTATTTGGATGATAGCATGTAAGATGATCATTGTGCAGATAGGAGTTGTGGATAGGAGTTATGTGGGCAACCAAATTATAGAAAATGTGAATATGGGCATAATGGATAACAATCATTGCCTGGATGAAGGACTAATGGAAAATTATACTTGTTTGAATATCTCTTGCCCAGAGAGGGTTACTATAATCTAAAGAAGTTATGAGAGATGCTTTATGATCGAGATAGGAAAGCTGTGGAATGGTTTTTAGATAAGGAGATTAGAGGATTATCAGTGGAATTATGATAGAGACTGGAGGATTAATTGTGGAATGCTCTGTTAGTATTTATTCTTCAATACTCTATGTTCTATCAAGGTAATGAAACCGGTATGGAAGAGTGTTTAAAGAGAGATGCCGTAAGACTTTGTGACCACCATCTCGGAGGGAAGTATATAAGAAGACAGATTGTTAAGCATTCTTGGAAAATAAGATTGAGCTTATAAGAGGCCAGGTAAATAAAAACTAGCAGTGATGCATGTTGAGAGACAAGACCTCGTCCTCGAGTACCTGATATTATTACTAGCACAAGGTTATTAATGAAATAAGAAAAGGATTAAGTGTGTTGGCAGAGATTATTAGTTTGTTCTTGAATAGACTTATTAGTAAGGGTATTTACACATTTACATGAATGCATGGAAAATAATGTGCATGACTGTGTTGATGTATGCACACTTGGCCATTTATGGGCTTGCTAAGATTGAGGTAGAAGTAAAATTCAACACGTTCCCATTCAGGTAGATGAAGAG